TAAAATTAAAAGTAAATAATAATCAATTATATTATTTATTTAATTTAAAAATATTTATACCCGTGCATGAGCACGGAAAAATCACCTAGTATATATATATATATATATATATATATATCAATTGTTACAAATCATATCACATATTAAATATACCCGATTTATTCTATTTCTTCCCTTTAATTACTCTAACCATATTTCATATTACATTTCATACATTTATATTGTCTTATAAACCTTATATTACACAATTTCAATCTATAGATTGACTACATAAATATTTATTATAATATAAATTAATTATATGGTGTTCAGCTGCTCTCATACTTATAAATGTTTACATATTTATAAAATAAATTGTAAAAAATTGTAACTGTAAATCATAAAATATAATTTAATATACTGTATAATAAAATCAAGAAAATTTAATATTTTTATCAAATAAAAATATATTAAATTATATTTTAATTTAGTAATTTTGATATTATATTAAATATAACTTTTTATTCTCTTAATATATATTTTAATATTTTGCATTAATAAATTGAAGTATGTTGTAAACTATATGAATATATGTTGTCATGAATATGTAATTCTTTTAATTTATAGTTAATAAAATAATTTTAATTAAGTTATATATATATATATATATTATTTATTGTAGTAGTTTAATTATGAATATGAATAATGTATTTATAAATATTATAGTAACGGTATTTCTTATTTAATAAATCCAAATGAATTAAAATTAATTGTAATAGTATTTAAAAGTAATTACTTTTTATTATTTAAAATAAATATTAAAAAATAAATATTTATATTTTACAGAAAAAGATATTAAAAGATATTGTCAAAATGCAATATTAGAAAAGATCTTAATAATATCTTTGATATCTGATTTTGAAACATTTAAATAATATATTAAGATTCTTATTGAATAATAACTAAATTTTTTATATGCAAGATAATTTCAAATATTTCCGTATTAACTTTTCTTCATATGTCGATATATTGCAAAAACAGTTTTCTATAATTATCTTCTTACTCAAATAAATAAATTACTTCATCTACAAGTTTATAGATTAACCACAATCAATATCGTGGTTAGTTATAATTTGGTTGGATTCCATATATTTCGGTAACTTACCGTAGTTGGATTACCATTAACTATTAAACTTTAAACTTCCTATCTAATTCAAAATATCTTCAAAAAATATTCCTTTTCCTCGAAAGAGATATTTTTAAAATCGTCTAAATATTCTGCCTTACATTTGCGTAACCTAAATGTATATTGTCCCAACCTATTATAAATATATCCTCTCTTGACCACTATATTCATCATTCCTTGAAAAACCTAAAACAAAAATAGCGAATAATTTGCAATTGTCTTTCTTGAGCGATATAAAACTGAGAAGACTGCATGTCGCATCCAAGTCAAAATCCTTCATACATGGAGACATTTCATGAAAGACATAGGGAAGACCATGGAACTAATCCTTTGTGAAGCAAATGTAAGTTTATGGTTTTATATAGATTTATGATTTAGATATCTTCATTTCGTAAAAGTTTAACCTAAAATAATAATGTTATTTTTTGTTTATATAGGGAACTAAGATTCATGACTCATGAGACATAAACAATATATATCAGTTACGTGACGATAGATATACTTTACATATTACATAAAAATGAAAAATTTATAGAAAAACCTGTACATAATATCTTAAAAAGAAATTCTTTATATATATATATATATATATATATATATATATATATATATATATATATATATATATATATATATATGAGTGTGTTTGTGTGTGTGTGTGGAAACCATAAAAACAATAACAGTCAATGAAAATAAATGCAAAATATTTGATAGAAGTTATAAAGTACTTGTTTAATCTAATGAACTTCTTAAAATCACTCAACTTTTAAAATCATCAGTTTCTACACACATTTTGGTTCCAATAACCCCCCCCCCTTCCTTAGTATATTGACCAAATTATATTTTATGTTACACTTTAACGAAAAACAAGAATGTTAATAAATTTCTGAAATTATCAGGTACAAATACTACAAGAAACATATAATATGCCATTTTCATAAATTTCCCTAGTAAATATCACATTAATAAAAATGCCCAAATATTTTATGCTTTCACACCAAAGATATATATAGTCTTACCTTTCTAGCAATAAATAAAGTGAGGATAAGTGTAATATATAATATAGATGATAACATAATATTAGAGATATTTAAATATATTTTACTATATGTTCTTCTTGTATATTAAAAACCAGTCTGCATAGCACTAAGCTTTAGCTTCTTACTAGTTAATACACTACATGCCTTCATTTCCAATAGTGGTCACATAGGCAACAAAAATCTTAAAGTCTGAGCCACATAATTCGAACATGCGCTGGTAGAAGCCCACACAATTCTGCTTCCCAAGTTTATTCCTCTTGCATTTTCTCCAAGATACACCCTTGTTCTCCAAGTGTACACGACTCCAGCTCAGCATCTTGACTTCACATGGTCTTGACCACTCAACACGATGTCTGCTTCAGCAACTACATCAACGACTACTTCAGGGCGGACATCTTACATCAACAAACAGGAGCTATCTGCGTATCGTCTCGCTTCTTATAACAGCTGCTTCAGGGCGTTTGCAAACAAAGTTGAATAAGTTAAAGAGTTTTGGGAGCTGTATGAGGCAGAGAGATGAGTAGACACTTTGTGGCTTTCATGTAAGTAAGAACACTCTTGTATTCCTCGCTCGATAATAGAGAGACTGGTAGGGAAAATATATATGAGACGTCAGTGAACATAGAAGACGTAACAATGCACCCAACAGCGCCTTTAGATTGCACTTCTTCCGTGTTCTCCACGGAATCGCGCAACACAATCTTCCCCTTCACAAGCTTACTGTCTAGACACCCTGGTATGCAAAACCTGAAATGACAATTTATCATGTAAACTTGTTTTGTGTACATATATAGATCAGAGCATAACAAATGAAGAAATGTGTTTCTTGGGATGGAAGTTACCTAGCCAGAGCACCAACACATTTAGTGGATGCTGATTCTCCGTACACCAGGGGTACTTTGTTCCATTAAGATCAAATGAATTCACGGACCTCCCATGTTTCAGAACAACCGTTAATTCTAAATATGACTAAAATGTATAAAAGTGAGAAAAAAATAACATGAAGATTTTTTGTTTGGTATTCACGACAAGTGTCTAGCCATTCCCAAGAACAACTTTGGTGACGAATGCACGATTAGTATTACTAGCAGCATCAGTGAAGATCCATGGTGCTAGGCCTGAGACGGTGCCAGGTACTAGACCATCATTTTCAGCGGAGTTAACCGTCAAGATCCCCTTGGCCATGACGAACGCAATGATACCAATGGAGATAGTGATTAAGTCCAAGTGATGAAGTTGGTTTCCAAAATCTACACACTAAATAGTTATGTCACATAACTTATGTGCCTTAAAACCTAAAAGAAATTGCAAATTCAAAATTTTGGCATATACTATAATATTTTCGGTCTTTTAAAATTATATCATATCAGGTTTTGACGTTTGGATTTGGTTTGAGTATTTTGGTTTTCGGTTTTCTTATTCTAAAAGTTTAGAAATTGTTATGTTATTAACAAAATTTGGTTCAGTTTCAGTTTGATTAGTTGGGTTGTTGGATGTGTAACTCTCAATATATATTTCTCAATGTTTTCTTTTATTTTGCTAAGAAATTGCTCAATATTTTCTTTTATTTTGCTAAAAAATTACTCAATATTTTCTAACATGAAGCTTCTTCCGTAATCGGTCATCAATAGAGCTACAATCTATCTCCGTTGTTGCTCATGTTATTTCCTCTTCCTTGGAAATGATGAAGAAAAACATGTATGTAATGTTTTCCTCAAGTTTCTTTTTGTTTATAAGTTTTCATTATTCAAATTTCAAAACTTTCTTTCGTAAAAAACAATATTAAACAATATTTACAGAGCCTGAGCATTATTTATTTAATTATATGTGATTTTGTAAACTTTGGTTGACATAAAATCTATATATAATAATTTCACATTTTTAAATGTGAAACGGAAATCTTTAAGTATATAATTTTGAAAAATTTATAGTGGCAAAACTATAGTAACATATTTTATGTGTTTTCTTTTATAATTTGTGAGTTAAATTAATTATTATCAAAAATAAAATAATAACATAAAGGTAAAAGTTCATATGACTTTTGTGGTTCATCAAAGGCCTTCATTGTTGGCAGTATAGTTCTTTTCTTTCTAGTACAAACCTTCTCTTTGTCCAAAGTTTTCCAAATAACTTATCATTTATTATCCTAATCACATAAGTTAAATTAAGTGGATAAAAATAAAATATTTATGACCTTTTTTCGTTCGTTCTTTCTTCATGTCACAAGAAGAATCAAATTGTGAATTTGTTCTCCCGTATATGCAGTTGTTATTCGCATTATATGTTTGTTAAACCAACCCCATATAAGAGCTTAATGGGTTTGATATTCACACTGAAAATAGGCGTGGATCAAAGGACATCTAGTTATGTTTTTGATCTTTATCTCAGAGTTTTGATTTATTAACGTTATGTTGTTGTTGCAGAGATTTCTAAAAGATAGATCTTGACATGAGCAGAGCAGATTAAAAAAAACTGGATGTAAAAAGAGAGTTATAACTGAAGAAAAAAAATTCTGCAATTAATTAACTATATATATACTAACGTTTAGAAGAATAAAAAGTTATGCGGCATTTTTCTTTCTTTTATGTAACAAAAATACTCTAATCGTGGATTCGTAATCTCGGGTAAGTAGTGGTTATCGGCAGATTCAGATAAGCAGCACGGGCTCACAAGTTTCCAACTCTTTTATGAGAAAGCTTCAATCAAAATACAATTCTTTCTGTCACTTAACGCTAAAATAATACTGAATAGAATCGACACACCTAGATGATCAGTGACCTGCAAGTTACATAGTGTTCTCGTGGTACCAAAAGACTTGAGTTAGAATACAATTGCTAAGAGGGATCAGGATGATTGTGTTCTACCATCTTTTTCAGCTTGAAGTCATACGAGCAGAGAGAAACCTGTACATAAACTTCTTCCTTCCCCATTTCCACCAAGTAGGAACACGAAGCAGCTTCCTTTTCACCTGGTGGTTCTCTGTAAAACCAATGAGAGATTTCATTAGAACAAAATTGCAATGAAGAAAGATGCAGTTATTGTATATGGGAAGAAGGATCACTCACTTTTGTTTTCGATAAGACGTGTTTCCCACTCTGAGAGTAACTTGGAGTATGCGGTAGCAAGTGATGGCCAGAACTTCATTTGGATATTCATTACATCAAGAACAGTCTCCAAGCCGGCTTTTGAAGGCGTGGTAGCTATAGGCAAGTCGTCGTTCTCAGGATTTTCACCAAGAAGAACCTTTATAGATGAAGAGGGATCATGAATAAACGTTTGTCTTCATATTTGAGATTGAAAATAGAGACTAACCTTGATCACTGCAGTAGCAGAAGAAGATATGGAGCGAAGATTGTAGCTGCAAATAATGACCAAAAGGAGAAAGAGCTTTAGAAGCTACCCCCTTGCAAACAAGAGACTATTCAGAAAACGTACCCGCCCTCGAGAATAACTAGCATTTTCCCACCGCAGATATCACCCAACATCTGTGTCATTCGAGAATAACCAGCTGGAGTTACCTGAAAGTAAAGAGTATACTTGATCTCTTAAAACCAATATTGAGTTCACAATAGATTGAATGTGTACAAGACAATACTGATTACAGAAGCTGTCAATGAAAGACCCTAGAATATGAAACTTACATCACAGCATCCTAATGGGTCTCCTCTAGCCGCATCAAATCCAGCTGATACGATGACAAAATCAGGAGAAAATGCAGAAGCTGCAAGGGAAGGGCTCCAGTTAGAATTAGACTGAATAAAGAATGAATGCACATTCAGGACAGTTCACTTCCTGGTTTGTAGAAACCAGATATTTGTAAAGAGTAGTGTTGAAACGAACTCAAAAAGGGAAAGCAGAACACAACTATGTACCTATTGGTAGAACAACATGCTGAAAGGCATAGATATAGTCTTTATCACCAACTCCACCACAGCTCCATGGAACATTTACACAATAACCTTCACCACCATTTGTACCAACCTGTACCACATAATCAAAATAAGAGAAATGTTAACACCCAACAAAACAAACTAAAAAGAAGCTAATATAAATGGATATGTTGCGGCAACAAAGTGTACTAAGGAAATACAACAGAAAGGCATAGATACCTCATCAGCAGCTCCAGTACCAGGATAAAAGTTTCCCCCTTCATGTCTGTGCAAGGAAATGTACAATACCTATACAATTGTTCCCAATATTTAGTCTAGGAATCGTCAATTCACTAAATAATTTATTTCATCCAGCACTCTAAGAACTACTGAGAAGAGATCCATAGAAGTAGGCATGCTTACAGATTTGTTTTGCTCGAATATCTCCTGGGTTCCATTTCCATGATGGACATCCTGCAACAATGGAGAAAACTATTCATATTCGCCTAAACAGATGCTGCAAAGAACAAGAACTAAGAAGCTTGTAGTTTTACAAAACCACCAGCATTGAGTTTTCAGAAGCATTACCCAGTCCACAATCAGCACCTTCCTTGCCCCTGCTGCCTGTGCTACTAATGCAGCAACAGCTGCATTATTGTGAAGGCAAAACCCCATAGCATGTTTGATGCCAGCATGGTGACCGGGAGGTCTAACCTAAATCAATCAAACATTTCTTACAGCTGATATGGTGTAATTGCAATTTCAAGCAAATGTCTTCAAATTTTTAAAATTGTGGTGAATGTTGACATACCAAAGCGAAACCATTTTTCACACGGCCAGAGTAAATTTCTGTAGCTAAATCAGCGCACAAACCTGCTGCAAGTCTAGCAGCACGTGCTGAATACTCATTAGCATATGTGTCAGAGGTGAAGTAGCTGCCAGACAATGGAAAAATATATGAGTAGTGAGAGCAAAAATAACACAAACAAATCATGTAAACAGAAACGTTACAGGTAAATTCAAACCTGTAGAGAAGCTGGCTTGTGATATTAACAGCGTCCACATGCTCTGAAGTGTGGACCTTAAAATTTAAAAAATATAAACCAGTTAATGACTTGTTTGCAAAAGTAACAAAATAAACGAACTACTCGCAGCTAGAGATGTCTCTAAGACAATTAAGTAGTAGCTCACCATCTGGAGCTCTTGTTTCGTGATCTCCCTTGCATGAATAGGCATACATCTTCCAGGGAAGACGCCTGCAAGTTTTGAAACGTTGTGAATACAAAAACTACTTTCAAGGGTATTAATATGGCAAACTGATAGATATATACCAGCTGTGGCAAGACTAGCAGCTATAGCTCGAAGACGATCAGGTCTCTCGGGATGTGGATGTGGCTTCACTTCGAACTGATCAAGCATGCCATTTAAACACGTTAAAATAAAAATACTTGCACGGAGAAAAGCTTAGGAGATAAACAAATCGTACAGATTTCTCAGGAAACTATAACAGTAACAGAATCATACTTCCGAGTGTAGCAACATTCTCTCGTCGAAACCAACAGCTGTTGAGCTGGTTGCAGATGAATTTCCTAAGATGGAGATAAAAGAGAAGTGAGCATGCCTAGAGTTACAAGTTCAAAAAGAAGCAAACCAAGTTAACACCTACCTCCACATTTCTCTTCGACTTCAATGAGACCAGTGTCTTTGAAAAACGGTGATGCCAAATAGCCATGCCTCAGGATGCCAGACTCCTTGTGCTCACCACATATCTACATCAAGGAATCAACTTTAGTTATGCTTAGCCAATGCACATTGTTTATGCTCAGCAAAAAACAACAGTACTATTCAAACATTAAAAGGTAAGCAAAAACGTACATAACAATGAACCATATCACCAGGATTCGCCATAGTACAATTAACGCAACACCATTTCACAAACTCAACGGGCATCATCGTCTGCTGCATAGGCTCCCAATCACTATCATCCTCCTCATCTTCTTCATTCAGCAACGTCTCTGCACCGTAGATATCCTGAAACGTCATTTCTCCTCTTGAAACCCTAGCTCTCTTCTGCATAACGATATTGACATAGACACATAAACCAAACCAAAAAGAAAAAAGCAGTGGCGGCAATACATGAAGAGGAAAAGGCCAAATGGTTTAAGCTTACTGATGATGAAACCCCATTGTCTCCATTGCTAAGCTCATCGAGGTGAGTTTCTTCACCACCGTTGCAATGTTTCCTCTTTGAACCGTCACAGGAAGTTTCTTCAACCATTGTTACCTCAGCAAATCTTTGATGTGCGAAAGTAAAAGTAAAAAGAGTTGCTTTTTTAATTTTTTTGGTTTTTTTAAATTAATGTGGAGAGATAAATCAAAACCGGAGCTAATGTAAGAACACTCTAACTAACTTAACTTTCCTTGTGTGTGTTGTCCTAAATCGATCTCCTATATTGATAGTCAACTAATCTCCTTTTGACTACAGAGAGGAAGGAAACTTTTTTACCTCAAGAACTTCGGATTAAACGTTGAACCGAAAAGGTTGAGTCTGTAGCCTTTATGCGGAGCGTGATTTTACGAGCTACTACGGTGGCGCAACAGAGCAGAAGAGAGAAAAAGATTGAGAGAGACGACGCTGAGTGTCTCCTGTCCTTTGTTTAACTAAACGATGATGAATCTAGTAATAAGAAGGCCCAAGCCCATTATGGAATACGTTTAATTAATTTTTTTTTTCACTCGTTCGTTTAATTTAACGATTTTTCATGATTTAGGGGTATTATTCAACCTGATATTTAGAAAGGTTTGATTTTATGAAATTTACATGACTTTGGGTGAGTTGATAAAAATCTTATGACTATAATTAAAATATTTTAAATATTATATTTTGGCTTAAAAGTTTATAAAAAGAAACGTAAGATAACAACAAAATTTCTTAAATTCCCCAATTAAAAAAAATCGTAATTTCAATAGAGAAATTCTTCAGAATAGAGAAATTTTTTTGTCATAATATAAACTTTGAAAATAAAAATGACTAATATAGATTTAAATGTTTTATCAAAAGAAGTAATATACACTTATACCTATGATTAATTAATCTAGACATTAGGATTTAGAGTTAAGAGGTGAGATTTAGAGTTTACAATTGAGGACTAAAGTTTTGAGGATAGGATTTCAAATTTAAAAAAAAAAATTAAAATTTTCAAAATTAAAAATGCTATTTTGATCATTGTAATTTTTGAGTTCTATTTTTGTGACAAAAACTTTAAAAAATTATATTTGAGAGAATTGTCAATTTCAATAACACTCTGCTGTACATGATCTTTTAAATAAAATAATAATACAAATCAAAATTCAAACTGAATTATTTACAATTTTTCTTGAATAATATAATATAATTCTTTTTGATGTAAATCAATCGAAATCTCAAATTGGTTTGCAAGAAATTCTACGTAGCTCGAACAAACAGCACTTTTTTACTTGTAAAGAATCACTAGTAAAAATTAACCGCATAGTCACGACACAACCACGCCGAAACCGTGGCTTGCATTAAAAAGCCACGATTTTGTCACGAAAAAGCCACGAAACGAAATAAGCCACGATAAAAAGAAAAAAGCCACGAAAGAACCACGAAAATTTCGTGGCTATAAGGAAGCCATGCGTTTGCCACTAAAATAAATCGTGGCTTGCATTAAAAAGCCACGATTTTGTCACGAAAGAGCCACGAAACGAAACAAGCCACGATAAAACCACGAAAATATCGTGGCTATAAGGAAGCCACGCGTCTGCCACTATAATAAATCGTGGCTTATTTTTGTTTTTTTATGCCGACATAGAAGTGGCAGTGTAGTGTCCAATCTTCGGACCAAAAGTTGTAAGGCCACGACTTTTTCCTGGCTTTTACCGTGGCTTATATCACTATTACACAACATGCATCAGATAATAGATTCGTTTGGTCGATAGATATTTATTATAGCCACGATTTCACAGTGGCTTTTCCGTGGCTTCTCTTCCACATATATCAAAATTTCGACAGAATTCTCATTCCAAAGTGTATACAAAAAACATACACACCCAAAATTTGTCTAAAAAATTTCGTTTTATTTTGAATCAAGAGAATGGATGGATCAAAGGATTGATCCTGAAAGTAATTGTGTTTCAGAAATTTTTATGGGAGGGATCAACGCATTTCTTGAATTTGCGTATAGTCAAGCAGATTATCAGGAGCGGCGAACATTATTATGTCCATGTGCACGATGCAAAAACGTGAAGCAACGAGAAGCAAAAGTTGTGTCAAGACATCTTTTCTCATACGGTTTTAAGGGAAATTACTACGTTTGGACGGGTCACGGAGAAAAATTCTATGATGTCGGGGAAAGTTCCGGCGCAAATCATTCGGCAGGAGTCGATGAAATGTTGGAGAATCCTTCTTGGGATGCTCATCATGATGATCGTTACCAGGAAATTGCAGAAGTTGAAGCGGATATCGCGCCGATGTATATTCCGGAACCGATTGAAGAGACGGTCTTAGCGGAACCATATCATGATAGTGCTTTTGAAGCATTTGAAGCAGCTACTCAACCTCTTTACGATGGATGTGCAGAAGGAATATCTCAGTTGTATGCTGCTTCGCGGATGATGAAAGTGAAGACAGATCACAATTTGGCGGAAGCTTGTGTAGATGAATTATCTGAAGCATTTAAGAAAATGCTTCCCCAGCCAAATAACGCTCCATCATCGTATTACGAGACAAAAAAGCTAACACGTGAGCTTGGGTTACCCGTACATAAGATTGATGTTTGTGAGAATAACTGTATGTTATTTTGGAAGGGAGAAGATGCGAAGTTGGCCAGTTGTCGATTTTGTAAAGCAGATCGCTATCACCCAAACAAAGGAAAAGGGAAAAACATTCCAAAACAAAGAATGTTTTACTTGCCGATAACTGATCGTCTGAAACGTCTATACCAACAAGAGGCTACAGCTTCCAAAATGCGGTGGCATAAGGAACATGTGTCCCCAGAAGACGAGATGCATCACCCGTCGGATGCTATAGTGTGGAACCACTTTAATGAGGTATATCCTGCATTTGCTGCTGAAAGTCGTAATGTTTATCTATGCTTATCAACAGATGGGTTTAATCCGGTCGGTATGAGTGGTGAAGCACAATCTCTTTGGCCTGTTATTGTAACTCCTTACAATTTGCCTCCGGATATGTGCATGAAAAGGGAGTTTTTTTTCCTCTCAGTACTAGTTCCAGGACCCAAACATCCGAAGAAAAGCTTGGATATTTACCTTCAGCCGTTGATTGAAGAATTACAGACCTTATGGAAGGATGGTGTGGAGGCATATGATATTTCAAGGAAAGAAATATTCATTATGCGAGCAGTATTGATGTGGACGATAAGCGACTTTCCAGCGTATGGCATGTTGTCAGGTTGGACGACTCATGGAAGGATGGCGTGCCCATATTGTCAAGATGAGACTGGTGCATTTTGGTTGTCTAATGGACGGAAACATAGTTGGTTTGATTGCCATAGAAGATTTCTTGAAGCAGATCATCCCTACAGGAGAAATGCTCAAGCATTTAGACGGGGCAAAACAGTGGTTGATCCTCCTCCACCATGGTTGACTGGTGAAGAAATTTTGCGTGAAAGGATAAATAACATAGAAGGTGTATCAAAAACCGTTGATTGTGGAGGGAATGGACATGAAAATCCATCCCGGACAATATCTGAGTATGGAGTCACTCACAATTGGGTAAAGAAGAGTATTTTCTGGGAGTTGCCGTATTGGGAAACTCATCTTCTTCGGCATAACCTTGATTTCATGCACATTGAGAAAAATTTCTTCGATAAACTGACAAACACGGTGTTAAATGCTCCTGGAAAGACAAAAGACAATATCAAAAGCAGATTGGATCTTCCGGGACTATGCAAAAGGCGAGATCTAGAGATGAGACCAGATGGCACGATGCCTGTCCCAATATTCAGGTTGTCTAATGCGGCAAAGCGACAATTGTGGTTGAAAAACGACATAAAATTTCCCGACGGGTACGCCTCCAAATTTAGTCGATGTGTTGACCTAAGTAGTTTAAAGCTACATGGACTGAAAAGTCATGATTGTCATGTCATTATGGAACGACTATATCCATTTGCGTTTGCTGAACTCCTACCCAAAAATGTTCACACAGCAATTAGAGGTATTACTTAATTTTC